TACTTGAACCATATTTCCATATTTATTATTCACTCTTACCATATTCTTAATCTTAAATGGTTGATATAGATAAATGGGCCATTTTTGCCTGCCACCAGATTCTGTCTAGGCAATTTGGGACATTCTCTGATATGTTAGCGGAGGAAGGAAATAACATACGGCTTTGAACTCAATTTGGGCTAATTTTCCAGGATTTAAATTCATCCCAAAGGATGCCCTATATATTCTCCACAGCCAACTAAAAAATCTTCAGAAAAATGACCTCTGCATCCAAATGTACAGAATCACTTCTTTATGGAAATTCCACTGGATTAGTTTCTTCTTCATATGAAGAGTAATAAAAGATCACAGTATTTTGACTAAAAGAAAAGTGGGAAAGCGAAAACTACAATTTTGGGTTTAATAAAATGAGTCAGGCTTGCATGTGATGAAGAAAAATGTTGCGCATGCCATTCCGACCATTGCTGTAGTAGCTGCTCAAGCTTCCGTTTACTGCCTCTGTTAAAGAAAACTTATCCATTCAGAGGTTGACCAAAAACATCATATCTTAGAATTCCTCTTTAGGAGGAGTATCATGTTTTCAAAAACAAGTGAAACATGCAACTCTTCTTTTATGAAAATACCTTGTTAGAGAATTATACATCACACGCACTGAAGGTTGCTGCTCATCAGCTGTCATTCTGGCTTTCTTAACACCAGAAATGGCTAACACGCAAAATTATGAAAAGTTTGCTGCCATTCCTGTTTCATTAGTGAAATTTCACTATTTCCATACAACTTTGTTATTTTTACTGTATAAACCTTTATTGAGATTTATAGATTTTGACAAGGGGATTAGGCATGATTATCACAGTTACCGATAGTGATTCTAAAATTCAACTGATCTCATATCTATTCTTTGCTAAACTTGAGGACAGTTTCAAATGTTTTCGTTTATATGCAATCATTCTATTAAAATAAAAGACGAGTGTAAAAGGTAGGTAACAGAATCATACCTCTAAAGGTACAATCTTCAAATCAAGGAATTCAATGTCAATTATGAATTTCCCCGTTAATGGAACCTCAATTGCCCAAACAAAATCGTCGTTATTCTTGAGCTTCTTGTCTGTAATTTCTGCATTGACACAAGATGACACCAGTTAAACAGCATTGACGAAAGAAAATTTATCAACAATAGACCTGATGAAATTCTCATCCTGAATTTGTTCTATCAACAGGTGTTCTAATGCTAATCTGCAAAATTCTATACCTAGATTTAACACAATTAAGACTTTAAGAGCATCAATTACAAACAAAACATGCACAATTGGGTGTTATAAGCACTAAGAAATTAGTACAAAGTCCTTAAAGAATCTAAAGAACAAGAAATTAAGAAACATCCAATTGTAATTTATTACCTGGGTGAATCAAAGACTTGCCATCTCCCACGGAGCAGACCACTCGAATGATAAACGATGCAATTGGAGGACTGTCTCTGGTTAAATTCGATATTTCTGGGTATAGTTTAATGAGCAACGTTCGATTCTTCTCCACAGCTAAATGCCTTCAATTCAAATAACCAATTGAATAATAAAAAAAAAAAACCCCCACTCTGACCTTTGAAGACAGCATAAAAAAACTAAAAATAACAACTGCAAATCAAACAATTTTTTTTTTTAAAAAAAAAGGAAAAAAAAAAGCAGAGTTTTTCCAGGAAGAAGGAAAAAGGGATAATTTTCTTGTTAATATTATGTTTTCTTCCCGAGAAAATTCAATAGAAATGAAGAAATTAAAATTCGTAATCTCTGGATTTTCATAACCTGGGATCATATGAAACTTAAGTCATCTTAGCTGAGCCAAAAAACTAAAAAGACTACTAAAAATTTCTGGGTATTTTAGTTTTTTTTTTACCCCATTGATCACAACACAACAACCAAAACAGAGCTGAAATTCAGAAGCTGATCACAAATCAAATTCATGGAGGTCTATTCATTTGCTATGAACAAGAAATAGTGGAATGACGGAAGAGAATGTTACCTGGATAGAACACACACAGAGAGAGAGAGAGAGAGAGAGAGAGACTGTGAGCTGTGCAATGGCGAACGGCTAGGGCTCGTTTGCCGTTTCGGCTGCTCCTCCGCCGTTCGCCGTCGATCGAGAGAGAGAGGGGGGGGTTTGGGGGGGGAGGGGAAAAAAAAAGTGGGGAAAGGGAGCGGGAATGGAAAAGAAAAAAGGGGCGGGAATAAAAAAAAATATATTTTTTTTGTTAATGAAATTTAAATAATAAAATAATGTCGTTTAATTTTTATTTTATTTTTTTGCGATAGGAGTTGCCGTCGTCAAAAAAATTATTTTTTGTTAAAATATATATATTTTTGTAGTTAATGATTTTTTAAAAAAAATCCTTTTTTTTTTAGTTGCTAAGATTGAAAATTTATTTGTTTCATTTTTATTTTAATGAAAAAAAATATTATTATTTTTTATTTGGTAGAAGTAGGGGTAAAAAATATATATATTTTTTAGTTAGAAATGAAATTTAAATATCAAAATAATGTTGTTTAACTTTTTTTTTTTTTTTTTTTTTTTGGAGGGGGGTTGATAGGAGTTGCCGTCGTCAAAAAAATTATTTTTTGTTAAAATATATATATTTTTTGTAGTTAATGAATTTTTTAAAAAAAAATTCTTTTTTTTTAGTTACTAAGATTGAAAATTTATTTGTTTCATTTTTATTTTAAAGAAAAAAATATTATTATTTTTTATTTGGTAGAAGTAGGGGTAATATTTTAATGAAAAATATTTTCCACTAAAATAAAAGTTAATTTTCTGTGGTCAATGAAAAATATTTTTCTACGGCCCATTTTTTTTTTGTTATTAAAAATCATGAACTAATTTTTTGTGGTAGAGGAGAGGGAGTGGCAATAGTGGCGAAGGTAGTGGATAAGAGATGATTGTGGTGGTGGTCGTAGCGGCGAAGGAGATTAGTGGTGAAGTTATGGTAGTGGTAGAGTAGATAAAGTGGCAAGGGTGAAGGAGAGGTAATGGTAGTAGTAGTGGCAGTAGTGGTGAAGGTGATGGATAAGAGATGATGGTGGTGGTGGTGGTGGTGGTAGCGAAGGAGATTAGTGGTGAAGTTGTGGTAGTGGTAGAGTAGATGAAGTGGCAAGGGTGAAGGAGAGGTAATGGTAGTAGTAGTGGCAGTAGTGGTGGTGTTGGCAATGGTAGTAGTAATGGTAGTCGTAGAGGTGAAGTGGTGACAGTGGTAGTAATTGTGGTAGTGTAATGGCGTTTGCAGTAGTGGTGAAGGTGGTAAAGGAGATGGGTGGTGAGAGAGAGAGATGAGTGAGAGACAGATAGAGGAGAGAAAGAGAGAGAGAGAGAGGGGGACAAAGACAGAGTGATGAGCGAGAGAAAGACGAAGTGGTCGCTAAAAGTGCATTTTCTTGTAGTGGATAGATAAATCGAGAGGGAGCTCAATAAATAGAGAAGACGGAAGGGAGAGAGTGAGCAACGCGAACACAGTGGGTGAGAGAGAGAGAGAGAGGAGGACAAAAAGATAAAGAGATAGAGAATGAGAGACAGAAAAAGAGACAAAGAGAGAAGAGAGATAAACGAGAGAGATAGAGAGAAGAGAGATGGGCGAGAGAGACATAGAAAGAAGAGAGATGAACGAGAGAGACAAAGAGAGAAAGAGATAGAGAGAAGAGAGATGAGCAAAGAGACAGGGAGAGAAAAGAGATGAGAGAAGAGATAGATGAGTGAGAGACATAGAGAGAGAGAGAGAGAGAGACAGATAGACAGAAAGAAAAGAGTGATGAGTAAAAGAGAGAAAAAGAAGAGAGAGAGGAAGATGAAAAAATGGGTGAAAAGATATAGACAAAGAGAGAGAGAAAAAAAAAGAGCGAAAAGAGATAAACGGGAGAGAGACAGAGAGAGATGAGCGAGAGAGATAAAGAGAAGAGAGATACGAGAGATAGACAGAAGAGAGATGGACGAGAGACACAGAGAGAAAGAGAGAGACAGACAGACAGACAGACAGAGAAGAGTGATGAGTGAGAGAGAGAAAAATAAGAGAGACAGAGACAGAGAGAGAAAGAGAGAGACAGACAGACAGAGAAGAGTGATGAGTGAGAGAGACAGAGATAGAGAGATAGGAAGATGAAAGAATGGGTGAAAAAGTTCTGTGTCTAAAGCCTCCTTTTCTAGTAGTGAGTGGTCTCTATCATTCATGGGTAGAATAGAGGCGCGGATTTGAGAATTGTATATTTTATATAAAAGTCAAATTTAAATATTTTATACAATCACACCTATTTAGGAAGTGTGATTAAAAAGTAGTAATGTATATATAATCACACTTTAATTAAAATGTGTGATTAAAAAAAAATATATATATAATCACACTTATTTAAAAAGTGTGATTAAAAAGTAGTAGTGTATATATAATCACACTTTAATTAGAAGGCGTGATTAAAAAATATATAAATAATCACACTTTAATTAGAATGTGTGATTATATATATATATATATATATAATCACACTTGTTTAAAAAGTGTGATTAAAAAGTAGTAGTGTATATATAATCACACTTTAATTAGAAATAATCACACTTGTTTAAAAAGTGTGATTAAAAAGTAGTAGTGTATATATAATCACACTTTAATTAGAAGGTGTGATTAAATATATATATATATATATATAATCACACTTAATTGAAAAGTGACATAAAAAATAAATATTATCACACTCAATCAAATTAAGGGTTGGTTTGGGGTGTCTTAAAAAAGTGCACTTTTTGTCTTTTTACGAAAAGATGTGCAGAAAAGTAGAGAGGTGATGTGATGGAAAAAAGATAATAAGATAAAAAGATGGATTATATAGTAGATGCCAAACCAAGCCTAAGTGTGATTAAAATATCAATCTAATTTTTTTTTATCACACTTCCAATAAAAATGAGATCTTTTTTTTTGTCAAAGTGTGATCTTTAACTATTTTTGTAGTAGTGATATTTGTCACGTCCCAAAATTCAAAATCGAAAATATTTTAATAGACACAAATAAGCAGAGTTAATAGCATAGATAATTCATTTGTGTTCTGCTATATGATTACAAAACACTGTCAAATCAAAAGTCAAAAAAAAAAAACAAAAAAAACAAAAACAAAAAACAAAACAAAACTACTAATCTAAATCTTCAAGTGAACCACGGCTCCAACACTTTATCTTGATTGCTTTCAGGATAACCTTCACCATCGTAAACCGCATCCTTACCTGGCATGAGACACCATGAGCTTAAAATGGCCAATAAAAATACATACACACCCCATACCTTCTATCAACCAATCAACCATACACAAAACAAATCGGATAACATAATATACAATATTACAATAAGGTTTTATGAATTAGTAATTAGACTAGACATCTGGAATTTCCCAAAGAGATCCTTCTACCCAACCACAAGGATTGAACACTGGACTATTCAGACCTCCCGCTTTTGCTGCTTTGCAGACCTTACCACCAATGCCCACCTTCCGATTATTTACCAATCAGCAGTATTGATGGAGCTCAAAATGAACGGTCAAACAAGTTGGCTCGTTTGCACCCAAATCGTGCCTAGGGCTCGCTTACAGCCTGCACATTCCATACCATAGGGCTTGCTTATACCTTGCAGACCTTACCACCAATGCCCACCTTCCGATTATTTACCAATCAACAGTATTGATGGAGCTCAAAATGAACGGTCAAACAAGTTGGCTCGTTTGCACCCAAATCGTGCCTAGGGCTCGCTTACACCCTGCACATTCTATACCATAGGGCTTGCTTATACCTTGAAACCACCGCATAGAGTTTGAATACACTCGTGTCAACCTAGGGGTTTGCTTAGGCCGCTTGCGCAAGACTGAACTCATTTGGTATTAATTCCATCATAATTCATTTCATTCATATGTATAAATTATTCCGAAACACTAGTGTGAACGTCACCTATTGCCAACCCCTTATCATTTCCCATTTATTAGATCTTTTGATAAGTAAGTTAGTCACATTCAGTAATATAAAAGAGCATTAGAGAGGAAATATAGCCCATGATAGTCATACACAAGTATGGTAAATCAAGCAAACAACATTAGGCATACTTTGAAATATTTAGAGACAAACAACACAATAAGACACAATTTCTAATACTTTTCAGAACTGTAGAGTTAAAAAGAATGCTTTGGTAAAAATACTTCCAGATCATATTAGGGGTTGAAATTGCATAGAAACAATAAACAACATGTCTGTTTTTAGTTCCAATTTTTAGAATTTGTACAGCACATCCAGAAATTCATCTACAAGCTCTGTTTGAAAACTTATCCAGATTTGTCACCCTTTGGGAAAACTAGCTTTCCTCTTAACCTACCCAATGACTCTCACCCAAATAAATTCTATTAGAAAGAGGACTCAGAATTCTAAATTTTTATAGAAGAACCAACATGAGATGATTTTTCTAGAATTTTATAAAATTGCAAGAAGTGGACTGTTTTCAGACATTCAGGACCAGATTTTTAAAACAAAATATCCAAGCCTTAAAAACACACGAGGCTAATAAAATTATCACAAGCTCTAAACACACCCAATATCCTATATTAAATCCAGATTTGAGAAATAAATAAATTTGATATTTTTTTTAAATTAGAGAAGTTACAACAGTGCATAGTTTGACAAAATTGCAAGGCAAAGTCACTAAATCATACCCACACTTTCATACATACCAAAAACCCTATTTATCATTAATATGCAACACAAGAGGGCATCTAGACAATAGGTTGAGATAAGTGAAAGAATTGGAGAAGACAAAGAAGAGATATGTTCTTACCTTGAATCAAGAAAGCACATTTTCATTTTTTTTTTTTTTTTTTTGTTACTCTTCTTTTCTACTTTCTCCTACTCACACTCTCCTTCTCTCACCCTCTCCTTGGCTGCTGAAACGTGAGCAAGGAATTGAGGAAATGCTCTCAATTTATAGGCAATAAGTTTGGGTTGAAAAGACCATTTTGCCCTCTAACTTAATGACTAAGGAAAATAGTAAATATCTAGATATTTTCTCAACCAATTTTCTCCAAAATAATATTTATAATACCTATGTAAATATCCATGTTCAAATAAATAATAAATATTTAAATAAATAATAAATGAAAGAACAAAACAACAAATAAATAAATAAATAAATAAAATGTATGAATTAATTTAGAAACTAGGAGGTAAATAAATAAAAACCAAGTTTTAGGGTATTTTCAATTATAAAGTGGCAAGATTTAATTACGATAATATACGGGAAAATTATTCTTTATTGGGCCATTTTGCAAACTTTTACGAAACTAGGGACTAAAATGCTAGTAACCTAAGACTTAGGGTTTCACGTGTAATTACAAAAAAATTAGGATATCTACGCTATCTGTTACGAATATTTTGGGATAATAAGGAAGTAAAATAGTCATCACATATATGCATTTATATTTCCTCAATTTTGAAACAAATAAATTATTGGAAATTCTATGATATACACCCTCTTTTAGGGTGTGTACAATTACAACGTTGGTAATTTTTGGCTTTCACCTATTATAGTTTGTTATGACTTGATTATACACATTGTAGTGAAAGTTATAACTCATTGTCATGTTGTTATGATATTTTTTTAATTATGATTTAAAAGATTTTTTATTATACCTTACATAATACTTAGTTATGACTAAAAAAAAATTCAATTATGATATTTATAATAATCAATCTCACAAGTTTCATAACTTATCTATGATACCCACCATTTTCGCATCCACAAATTATAAGCAAACTAAAAGAACAAACAAAAGAAAGTATGTACTTTATATTTGATCACAAGATCACACAATCCTCATTATCATATCATATTTAACAAAGGACACTTATTCTATGTAAACCAGCTATATATACATTTTAGTATAAGAAATCAAGCACTGTTTGAGGCATGTATGCTATCTATATCATCTCCATTCAAACCCTTCCAAGCTCCTAAGGGAAGCAAGGGATACATTATAGCATCCTCATCTGAATTATGGTCAAGCCCAAGAATGTGCCCAATTTCATGTGAAGCTACAGTTTCCAAATCAAATGCACCCGGGAGCGGGATCATTGACTATAGGTCCTGCCCATCAAAATGAACCTTCCCATCGTCGGGTGCGAAAGAATGGGCCAAAACCCCATGTGGTCCATCAAATGCCCCAGCCCCATCCCCATGGTCACCAATTTGAAAGCTAATCTTCACATCAGCCAGGCCATTTTTAATTTTTTTTTTTTTTTGAACTCAGCCACGTTATAGTTTGGATCTCCTCAAAAGTGAAACGGGTCACAGAAGCCCAATTCTCAAAGGCCTAGGCACACAGCGGGCCTAGGACATCGGCCTGTGAGAGAAATGCATAGGTGAGATGGGTTTTGGAAGCTGGCTATCTGGGCCATCCCGGAGAGAAGTTATAGTGAGCAACAGTATGGATGAAGCTAGAGCCTGAGCCATGGACATGATTCTTCTTCCACGACCTCATCGAGGTTTTGCCATTGTTAATATCTGGTACGCTGCACCGTGGCATCATCATCTTGGTCAAGGTGGCCGCGTCTAATGTCCCAGTTGAACTCAGGTGATAATTGAGTTCGTATGTTTTGATGGATTTCTCTAAAAGCTCATAAAAGTCATCAACATGTGTACCATTGGGAGGTGAGGATAGTTTTAGGTACCCAAATTTTTTTGAGGTACCTTTTGAGCTCACCTAGCCTTTTCACCTTATCACCTTTATGGGTTCCATGAAAGTACTTGAGAAACTCAAAGGGTTTGGATTGTTCACCATTGGGGCTCAATGAAATGGAGTGAGAGAAGAGCATAAACAATGGAAGAAGAATCAATGGGTAGATACGGGACACATTGGTTGCCATCTTGATATAAAGTGAGAACTTTGTGTCTTGCTTGGAAATTTGAAAGGGGAAGTTAGAGCTATATATAGGTGGAAGGATCAATGAAGGTGAACAAAGCTATGTTTCAAGTTGAGTAGCAAAGTATGCTATAGGAAATTTAGACACCAACCGGGTGCTTGGGAAGAAAAGATTTTAGCTAAAATATCTATCCAAAAGGTCAACTTATTCTTTCAAAACTCTTTTTTTTTTTTTAATTTCATTTTATTTTATTTTTCATCTTGTTGTAAAAAATCAAAAATACACTAAAAAAATCAATTCTCAAACAGACGTTAAGTTGGGAGTCTTTATTTATTCTTTTCTTAAAAGCAGCTTCTCTCTTGTTTAGGATATTCTCGGCTTGTGAGCTCACTACATACTGCACTTTGATAATTTAATTCATTAATTTTTTAGTCTCCATTTGCAAATTGTTCATTAAAAAGTTAGATTAATCCAATAATTATAACCATGTAAGTTAATTATATTTTATTTAAAATAAATAAATAATCTATTTTAAAATTATACTTATCCTCTCTATATATATTTTTTAAAACAAATATAATGAAAGTAATTATAATTATCCAACCACACAGAATCTTAAAAAAAATTAACGAATCAGATCAAACATCACACTTCTACTGAGCCCTGACCAACTGGGACAATAAAATTAGTTGGAAGTGTTGATTCACGTTGGAATTAAAGTAATCTTAATATAGCCCCTAAGAGACTCTGATAACAGAAAAAGTATAGGCTCTAATTGGTTCAAGATAAAGTTAAAATAAAGCAAATTCCACAAGCATTGGATTAATTGTTCTGTGTTCAAACGTGAATGAATTATTAGGGATGTGTTTAAAGTCAAGTATTAGCGGGGTGGGTTGGTTTAGAAATTAATTTTTTTGTAGTGATTTTTAATTATTTTTAATTTTATTTTATTTTTATGAAAAGACTTTTAAAAAAATAGCAAGAATATGTCACTTTTTGACTATTTTAACTTGTTGCTAAACAGGGTTTAGACTTATAAGTTATAGCAAAAGCATGGTCTAGTTTTCACTATCTTTAATAGTAAACTGCTAGATATTTTTTAGTTGTGTTTAATTAATAAATAAACAACAACGTTAGGTAAAAAGGGCATTGAGGTCATAAAGAAATGAGAAAAAGATATAAAAAAATTAGATTATAAATTATTTTTTTATTACGAATTACTTAATAAAATCCAAACTTCAGTTACTTGAGAGTGAATTGCTTTCACAATGTTTGTCTACGAGAAAAAAAATGATGAGAATAATGATGAATTTTGAGCAATAAATTAGTTTTATAAAGACAGTACTTAGGTTCTTGTAAGGAAAACAATTGATTTATAGCCGTTACAAAAATAAATAAGATGATAACAATAACAATGAATTTTGTGCAGTGAAGAATCTAATAGGGTCCAAGCATGAAAACAGATACAAGTTATGGATACAACAACATTTATGCAGTCATAAAAAAAGGTAATAATAATTAATTATTAATATTGTATTATACATATAAGTTCAAAGAATGAAACATTATTTAAGAATTAGGCATTGATTTAAGAGTCGTAGTCTTTTTTTAGTATGTCCTATGAAATAGTTTATTTCAATATCAAATCTAAATTGTTTATATTGTCCTTATTCTTTGCCTTTTCACTCCAAAAATTGTTACGTGCTAAAAAGTTGTATGCACAAACACTAGCTGAAATTGAATTTTAGTATTCATGATATTTTTTGTTCTCCAACAAATAAGCTAAGAATTGAAAAAAAAATTCATATTTATGCTAACAATTATACTCGATGGCTATGTAAGAAATATTTACAATATCTGTTTCTTAATAATTCAAATACATGAGTTAGAGTAATTGAAAAGTATATAAACTTCTTATAAAAAAAAAAAAAAAAAAAAAAGCTCCAAAAAGCATTATTCTTATTTAAAATGTCTTATAAATATCTACAACTATTCTAAACTATTGGTATCCAATACAAAGAGAACACCCTTCTAGAAATGTCCATATTTTATAGCATGCCCCCAAAAGACTGCTACTCCTATGTTAATTTATCTGTTGTTGGGTTTATCTATTGTTTGATACCCAAATTGTTGAGTGGGAGCAAGTCAAGTTGATTTTTTATTTATTTATTTATTTATTTTACACTTTGTTAAATTATTAATACATCATCCTTTTAGGACTTTAATATCTATAGTTTTATATCTATTACAAAACAAATGTAGATAAGAGAGAATTATATATCTCATTGATCTAGATAGATAATCAATCTTATAGTAAGGCCAAGTTTGGCATGTTCAGGAAAAGTCAAAAAGTCAAAAAGTTATTCAAAAAGTTAAAAAGTTAACACTATTCACCAAAAGTCAACAATTACGGCTGCACAACTCACAATCCTAATTTTCTCCTACAAACCAATTTTTACAATTTTTTATTACACATTTTTTCATAAAACGTCAAAAAGTTAACCCAAACATCTATATTTTTTTCCTCAATTTTTTAGTTCAAAAAGACAAAAAGTACACTTATTTAGGATACCTCAAACAACTCCTAATTTTATAGATTGTTAATTTCCTCCCTATGAATCATGCTAATCAAACAAATCCTCAGGGCATTGAATCCTTTGTAACTTCTTTTTTTCTTTTTTTTTTTCAAATTATTTGAATGAAAAAAGTTACGATATATTGTGGTGCGTATTATGAATTGTTATGATTGTATTAGGCACGTTACAACTGAGTCCATCCGTTATTAAACTAGAATAGTTTTCCTTCTCAATATATATAATCTCTTTCTTGATACAATCTTTTTATTTTTTCATCAATTTCTAAATCGGTTTGTCAAACAATGTACATATACAAAACTAAAATTATGAGCAACATAATGAAGCAAGAATATGACAACTTTTCTAAAATTTCACGGTAGAGGTAAATTCTCCATCCATGGTTTCCATGCTTCCGAACAGTCAACACCGCCATGATTTGATCTGTCT